GCCCTGCCTCTCTCAATGCTCCTATTACTAATCCATGCTCCATCCCCATGCGCAGCTTCCTCCAGAACAAAGGCGCCGTCATAGGCGTCGCCACCGCGGGCAGTCTCCTCCTCGTCATATTCCTCATCTACGTGCTCACGCGCGTCCAACGCGCGCGGCGCCGTCGGCAATTCGACCGGGAGATGGACGAGTCGTTCCAGGAGGCCATGGACAAGGCCGCCGCGGGCTGGCGCCGCTCGCCGTCGCCCGACTACTCCGCCAACGCCGCGGCCCTGGAGCGCGCCCCGAGCGCGCTGAGCATGCACAGCGCCGCGTCGTTTGGGGCCTACGCGCAGCCGCCGCTCGCCGTGCCGCAGCAGCAGTACAGCCACGGCGGATTCGTCGCGCATCCGGAGTACGCGTCGGCGGAGTACTGGGCGGCCGCGCAGGCGGGCCCGCCTGCCGTGGCACTGGCGGCGCATGGGCCGGGGATGGGCGCGTGGATGGGGCAGCCGCAGCAGCACGCGACGCCGGCGTACGTGCCGCCCGGGACGGGGTGGGCGGGCCCGGGGTTCGTGCGCGAGCCGCCTCAGTCTGCTGCCATCCAGTTCCATCCTGAGGCCCAAGGTCCTCCGAGAGACTACCTCTCGCATTACACCACGCCTCCACCAGCCGCGGATCCCGGATATGGCAGTCCTGTCTCACCGGCATCCATGCTGAATCCGTTCGATAGCACAGAGGAGCGCGCGCTCAAGGTGAGTTCGGTTTGGTTCTTCTTGCCTTTGTGTGCTCACGGTATCTTGCAGGTCGCTAATGAATAGTTCAGATAGGTCGTGGTTAGTTTCGGACTAGGGTTTAGATATCATAATGGTGTTCTCGGGTAATATAATACTATGACGGACGATGGTTGCGTATCGTTATCATCATAAAGCCTCGGGCGACAATTAATCGCATTGCATTGCTTAATTAATCTACATACGCTGAAGACGCTTCATGCTACCAGGAGCTGGGAACGACCCAGTGGGGCTAGGGATGCTCGGACAAGCCCGCTATGCAAAAGAATGGTCGGCGAAGAGGATGTGTGACAACTTCTCCATCGAGCGCCCTCGCCTTGCGCAGGCCACAGCCCTGTATTCGGGCGCCGTTCGGCCGGATACGCGAGGCGTCCAGCATGGGCGTACAGATCGTCCGTGCTCTTCTTCGTCTACGCCTCAGCCAGTCACTCAGATCAGGAAAACCTCACCCAGATATTTTTCGGTATTTTCTTTAAAATTGTCGGAAAATATCGCCGATACCTTGGGATAGCAAAATGTCCCAAAAATATGTTACCCCTCAGAAAAATATCAAGATTTCAGGTACGCTGAGATTGTCCCTCGATTTCCGTGGGATATTGCACTCATATTCACAATAGATGGTAAGAAAACAACTACTTGTATTCACGTCTATACATATGCCACAAGTCAACTAATATAATACTTGTACTTAGCTGGCCCCAATATTCCAAGCGGAACCACATGTCCACATCAAAATCCATTGACCCAACAACAAAAGCATAGCCCGAGCCAGGCCCGGCCAAGCCCTCGGGCCCAGGCTTCAGGCCCGACTTTGTCCCTTTTGATTTAATTCAGACAAAGTAAAGGCTTTGTACCCATGGATACACATCAAGACAGGAGGTAACCTTGCCGAACTTTGCCAGTTCCCAAATAGGGACGGCATACTCGGATCTTGATCCTGTGATGGCATGCTGCTCGGGCTGGAACTTAAGCCCGGGTCAGGCTCCTACCCACCCGCAGTTACGAGGCTCACAATCCGTGTAGCAGTATTTTGAAATAAATATGTACCAGGACCCCGGTTTATACCTCAAGAGGTAGGATACCAAAATTCGTCCCGGCCAAATCTTGTCCGGACTTCACGTTTTGCACTTGTCGAAATCTTGTCCGGATTGGTATCAGACCTCAAATTTTTCTCCAAATCTTGTCCGGACTCAGGGTCAAACCTCAAAAAAATCGCCGAAATCAGCCAGAAAATCGCATAAAAATCCCTAGCAGTTCCGAAAAATCTTGCCGTAGCATAGAAGTGTCACAATAAATTAAAAATAATTATTCCACACAGGAAAAACTGCAGTGCATATGAAAACCCGCAGGCGGTTGTAATGGCGAGGGAAGCCTAGACTCGATTTCTGGCATGTGGTGGACATGCTCAACTTCAACGGCAACGCAATGGTACGTCTTTGAAGCATCGGTCGCTGGATTATGGCACTGTAGGTCTTTGTCTTTGATAATGTAGTCATCCGTGCGTCGTATGCATAGAGAACGGTTCAAGTAGCTTATACGAGAGAGTAGACTTAGAGTGTCGATTGGTGGCAGAATTAGTATTCTCGGTCTGCGTGGCATGTCCAGCAATCATCAATGTGTACAATGCAGCATAAAGCACATTGATTATCAGTGGCTTTCGGTCTGCATGGCATGTCCAGCAGTGTGTACAATGCAGTGTAAAGCACATTGACTTTCAGTGGCTGCAAGCCGCTGATGGCAGAGGGGGACGAGGACAACATCAAGATTTCTTGTCCGGATTCGGTATCCAAGGTCTTCTGCGCCTGCCATCTTGTCCGGACTTAAGATCCAAGTCATCCGGCTCGAGGGTCGTTTTTGTCCGGATTCTGATCACACCTACTGGCCATTTTCCAAAAATTTGTCCGGATTTCGGTATCCTACATCTTAGGGTATAAACCAGGGTCCTTATGTACCGGAACCGCGTTATGCGTGATGTTACTTGTGAGCTGAAGTTTGGGCTGAAGTATCATTCAACCGGATTGTGGTCTAACAGTTCGAAAACCTATGCCATAAACTTCTCATTCACGTTCCAGCCGGCGCCGACAGAAATCTGCTGTTGTTGAGCAAGATTTCGAGGCAGCTGTGCTGAAGGATGAGTGCTACATACTGCAGAGGACGATACCAGTGAGACGAAATCTGCCACTACAATTCGCTACACTGCGATCCCAGATATTATATTCCTCTCCCTGTCAGTGGTGTCGTTGGGAAATTTAAAGCTCAGTCTGTGTTCCCCATCGCATCCCGTGCGCAGTTTTAGCCAGGACTCCTCTTTAAGTCACAATATACAAATATTGAACCCGGGACCACGTTCCGGTCCGCTCGGGGATCAAAGGGGGGGCCGGCCACCATCTTTTGGCCGCGGTTCCTAACGTCGCATCACTGTCGCGTCGACGTCAACGTACCGTCGCGTCACCTGTCGCCACCGTCGTCACATCCCGCCCGTCGTCATCCGCCGTCATCCCGCCCCGTGCGCCGACCATCACTTTTCCACACACGCGGTCCACAGCTTGATGTCACTCGGCCCCACTGCAGTGGCACTGCTTACCGACTGCCAACGCCGTCGCCGACGCCTCTTCTCGGAATACCGGGGAACTCTCTACCAATGCCACGCCGCCGCCTCGCTCGATACATTGATTACAACGCCGGGCAAGCGCAGGCTTCTCCTGGCGCCACACCCACCTCCGCGCGCCGTCTCTACAGCTGGCTCGGCGCTGGCTGGGCCATTTATCTCGGATCCGGGGCCGATGTTGATTGTTATTGGCGAGCGAAGCGAGCCATCCCTGGCTATCACGTGAATCGCCTGGGGCCAGCAATCCCACAAACACGAACAAATTCTACGGCAGTGGCTGACAGTGGCAGGAGGGAAAGAACGGCCTCAAACACGTTCAAATTTTTGGCTGTGATAATAAGGTTGGAGCCAGTGGAGGGGATTTTATCAGCGGTTCGAATGGTACCAAAATCATATTAAACAACCCAGTAACACGGAAGTTGTTTTGCAGGATAGAATTACCCGTAGCGCGGTCATTTGTGCACTATTTGCTCTGATTTTTTTACTATTTGAATCTTGTCCTTTGTCCAAATCTAACCGTACCACTTACGGCACTAATGCTACCACTATGTACGATTTTGCCGTGCGCCTGCGATCTTAACCGCTGGTCACGTGATGACATTATGTATATACTGTAGTATTCCGTTCATTTCGTATGGACCTTTGGGGTGTGACTTTCCAAACGAATGTAACCTTTCGTAGCCGATCCCGATTAGGCAATTTGATCCGTCGGCTAAGCTCGGCACGTCTCGGCACCTCCAAAATCGCCTCTGTGACCCAGTGACAGACGAAATTTTTCGTATATTTTTTGGGCTGTGACCCGTGACCATACGAATTGAACGGAATACTACAGTATTTTGCGAAGCTTCGCGAGCCACCGCCCGGCTTCGGCGGACACCTAGTTTATTGATGTTTTCACTTCTTCTCTCTTGCGACCACTGGCAGCTTTGGTTCATCGCTTGCATGCCGCAGGCGTTGCCTACGATGCTGGCCCGCAGCGCGCTTGCTCTTGCACCCGACCCGCCCATGGGTCAGTACGATGGTCCCATTACCGTCGCTTCTGGTTGCTGACATGATTCCACAGCTCCCGTCCCCAGGGCGACACGTCGACCAACTGCATCCACTGGCTTTGGTCGAGCTTTGGCAACCGGCTCAGTGCCACTTGCGTGGCGGGAGACATGACTGACAGAACCTCCGCAGCATCAATTCCACGCCACGCCCGCGGCCCGCGCTGGCAGACGAGCCTTCGGCACGCGCCGCAGGCCATGCACGCGCATACACGCAGCACAACGCGCGCGCGCGCTGCCTTCCGCCGCTGCAAGAAGTAGCGCTCGCGTTCGGCGCCGCCTTCGTGGCGACGCTGCGCTCGCGCTCTCACGGTGCGCACTTTGCGCCGCGTGAGTGGCGACGCACTTTTGTGGTCGAGCGCTACCACAAGGCGCTGCTGTGGAGCTGGGTCGTGCGGGAGTGGGGCGCGGGAGCGGGGTGGGTGCTGTGCGGCGTGGCGACGTGGGCGGAGCTGGCGCGGGCGAGGCGCGAGAGGGCCGTGGGGTGGGGAGCCGGGGTACCGGGAGCGCGTAGCCCAATTTATTACTTAATTATGTATCAATGCAAATATATTTTGAAAAAAAAGTCAAAAAGGGCTCAACGGGGAATTGAACCCCGGACCACTCGCAATTAACCCGAAGGTTACATAATCCAATGATTATGAGCTGGCGCCCGAAGCGAGTATCATACTTCTAGACCATTGAGCCGTGCCAACGGTGTCACTTTTAAGGTGTCATCAAGGGTAACTTCAGTAAACTAACTTGGCCTGCGAAAACTAACTTTACTGTACTTATGGCAGGCCAAGTTAGTTCAGTTAAAGTAAAGTACTTACAAGTTACTTACAAGTTAAGTACTTGTAAGTACCTTACTTGCATGGGGCGTACGGCATTTGATCGCATAAGTTACTTTTTTTGATCTAACTTGGCAGGCCAAGTTAGCACCAGTAACTTGTAAGTACTTACAAGTAAGTTGTAAGTACCTTACTTGCAAGTAGCTTGCAATTACTTGACTTACCAGTAACTTGTACCTACATAAGTTAAGGGGAGAACCTCAAGGTCAGTTCTGTACTTGTCAACCTATAATAAGTAAATAAATGGATAAATAAAACAATACTCAGTATAATTTGAGTTGGAGCCCAGTGCCTGACCCTCCGTCCGTCACTAGGTCACGTGGTCGTTATAGTGGTCGCTTTTGAACACGGAAGCTGTCTGGGTAAAAATCTAGATGTGAAATAATGGATGGAGCAAATGAAAGCAGTAGGTTGGTACATAAAATTCTTCGGCCAGTGCGCAGTGATCATGGCATGAACGCGGAAATCGACGACTCGGAGCGCGGGAAGCAGCGCTTCCACGCCGCTTCTTTGAGGTGTGGGTTGCGGCAAGATGATTTGGCCCACATTGTTTCAAACCTCACCTGAGCTTGAGGAGTTATGTATGTACCGAGGCCGTGGATGCCAGCCGCGGGTTGCGTGGACACTGGGGAACATCTGAACTTGCTGTGTTAGTGTGGCTGTGTTAGTGTGTGGGGTGAGAGGCAGGCGGGGAAGAGACACACACACCGTCGGCCTGCCCTGCATGTGCACTGGCTACATCTGATCATAGTATGGGAGCCACGCGGGGTACAAAGATGGTGTAAGCACAACTCACAAAGAAATCAGTTACATAGCTGTAGTGCATTCATCAAGGAAAAGTGAAATCCATATAGTGGGGGGATGTCCTGCTGTTGCCCGATGTAGCGTCTGTAGCCGTGGGAGCTACCATGTAGCAACGCCATAGCCCGAGGTTTGCATACATAGCACGCCGTAGAGCATTGTGGACTAATGGGCAGCTCTGTAGTGCGATGGGGGACTGATAGACGTGCCTCCGGCACCGTGGCTCTGATAGTTTATGTAGTTCTGGTAGTAGTGTGCATTCTCTGAATAAATTAAAGCGCTGTGTATATGTTGAGTGACGCGTGATGTCCGGTCGGCGGCACCCTGTCACGCAGTTGTGACCCACTAACGTTGAGTTTGATCAAGCTGTACTATCTCTCTGTCCAAGAAAGACAGGGAAAAGTATCTGCAACATGCCAGTGGCAACAGAATCCGTGCCCCCTAATAAGGAATGCAGCCGCTGGTACCATCAAATGCAAGTGCGGCAGAGATTGCGGACCGGGGACCCGGGCCCGTGCCGCACTCAGGATCAACGAAACACGGAGGGCACATATATATTATAATGACAGAGGACATCACCAAATTACAAGTGAATAAAGCCCGGCACTTTGGGCTTGGATGTCGTGCTAGTGAGGAAACACGGCACATTCCGGCTTCTGTGATGTGATTACATCAAAATCATGCGGCACATCTGGCATAGCACCAAGAATAACCCTTTAGAAGCCCTTAGCCCACATGTCCGAATAGAAGCTAAGAACTCCATAAGTTGCTTCCAAATGTGGCTGCAGACTCACATACTATGACGCAACCGCTGCCGACGCCCTATGGCTCGGGTAGGTGTCTCGTCATTGGCATCAGAGGGTTCAAGTTCCCACCGAAATTATTACGGGACAAAGGTACTAAAATAGTATCTGATATGTGTTTCAAGGACTCATGCAATAATAATTTGAAGCAATTTCAGTGTAATAAAATCAAATAACAGCTGCGTGTATTATTTCCGAACGCCACGAAGCAATACAAAGTCAATATGCCTAAGATATGGGTTTAAATAAAACTCTGTGACCCGTTCGAGAACATCATCAGCTGTGAGAGTTCGGTCAACCTTGGGAGGGAATTTCGGAATAAGGTGGCAGCTTCGATTAATCTGAGTTATCGGGACTATCGACGCATGCCGCGCTTGTTGTCGGAAGGCAGGTGTGACTTTGAACATTGCAAGGGTTTTGTCAAACGAGTTGAGGGGCCTGAACCACTCAATATGAGCTGGAACTCGATGCTTCAAAGCTCGAGCCTCGATCGGACGTGTCGCGCGCACAACATCATCGATGTCGTGCAATGAAACTTGAACGACGGTGGGAATTTTGATTCGGACGCGTTTGTAGACGGAAAAGGTCGCCGATATGTCGTTGAAGTTATTGGGGACCATTGAATTAGCGGCGAGGAAGTTGTGCAGATGGAAGAGGAAATCATTGGCGCCAAAATCCGCCTCGAGTGAGTGCACTGATACCGATGGGAATGGTGCTCGTTTAGCGATCGTGTACCGTGCGTCGACAGCTGATGGGGAGGGAGCATCGTCGGTATCGGTTTCGACAGGGTCTGCAGCAGCCTGTCTCCCGTGGCTCACGCCGCTCTCGGCCAGCCATTTGCCCAGCCCCCACTCCTTCTCGCTATCAAACGGGTGCCAAGGAGGAAGCCCGGCCTCATGCTGGGCGTCTCGAAGGCCTTCAAATGCCGTTGTCTCCTTGATCGGTGTCTCGCCATCATCTTCAGTGAGATAGCAGCCAGCAGGCTCAGGATAGTCACAGTAATAGCGAGTTGTGCCCGGTGCGTCGATATCTTCTTCTTCCACGATTTCGACGTGACGACGACTGGGTCGAGGCGGTTCCGGCGGCGGCTGTGCGTGGCCGTCAGGCGAGGGCGGGCCGGCCATATCAACATCGCTGAATGGAGATGGCCCGAGCAGAGACGGAGATGATGGCGGAGACGGAGAAGATGGCACACGACCTGGAGACGGCGGGGCATTCTGCGCCTCTTGGCGGAGAAAGTAGCGACAGTTTACCGACTGGGCATAGTGGGACTTGAGGCTTCCTGCGCTCCCGAGCTTCCGCCCACAGTAAGGGCAGCCGTGCGAGCTCATAGAGATCAAGACGCGAGGCGGTCACATGACCGTGACAGCCTCGTCTCTTCCCTTCTCCCTCCACGACCATATGCCCTCATCTCAAAGACCCCCCACACAGGTACGTAGCCTATCCGCCTCGACTTCCAGGACCCCCGCTTAGCCTCGCTAGGCCTCAAAAACCGCCAGCAAGCCCCGCAGGCCGGAGCCTCTGCCAGAGCCCTCACCACCTCGGCGCGAGCGAAATCCGACCAAGAAGAAAGGTGAAATGGGTGCGTAATCTCGCCCAGCTCCATTCGGCGTCCTGATCCTTTATTTATAGACGAGCGTGCAGCCGCTGCGACCACACAGGTACGTAGCCTATCCGCCTCAACTTCCAAGACCCCCGCTTAGCCTCCCATCTCACCGAACCCGCGGCGTCCATCGTTCCGGAAGCTCAGCACGCATTCGAGCTACTGATCTTTACGAAGAACGCCTATCCAGACGACCTGCGCGTGGAACGATGGGCGATGGACACTCTGGCTGCCGCTGGAGCAAAGCGGAGTGTGAGTTTGATGGCGACCGACAGAATACTCGGAATGGTACACTTCATTTTTACCCTGCTCAGCTTGCTGATCCCGCTACATGCAGGTGAAGTCATACGGCTGGCATGGGCGCAGCAATGTCGGCAATGTGGTCCGCCAGCTCTTCGACTCCCACTATCGTTTCGAGCCTGGTGGTTCGCCCGCTGATGTCGCCAAGAACCTGCAATTATATAATGATCTCATTGACGCATCCGCATTTCACTACAAGGTAAGTTTCTTCATACTGCCTCGTACTCTCTGAACCCGGGTGTTGTTCTAGGATCCTCAGACGTACACCGGGTACGCGCAACATGACATCATACGCTTATCACTCAAGAAACTTTGGTTCCGCACTCGGGACGACTTGGGTATCAAGAACGCGAATGTATTTAATCCTATTCCGCTCCCCACTCTAGCTGTTATCTTCACGGCGGTGCGTGGTTTTTACTTCAGCGAGGTCTGTTGCTAACGTACATTATTAGATTGAGCACTGGATCCAGTGCTGGTCAACCGGTCATTACGTTCACGCCAAGTTCACGGAAACATTGAACCAAGAGCGCTATCGAGCACACCTGCAAGACCTCTCGGACTGGGCTGGACTGGTACCGGAGGCCACGCAACTCCTCCTCACGAATCTTTACACCGGGCTTCGGTACGTCATCGCCGCCGCCGCTGCTTCCTTTCACTCATCGACGTACAGGACAGAGACCGGTGCACCGGCCATTCGTGCAGCCACAACGTCGCGCTTTTCCGACGACGACAAGCGTGCCCGAGCGATGGAGGAGATGCAGGCAATGCTGCAGCATGCAGGAGAAGTGGCGCCGGCGGCAGATTTGTAAACGTAATGATTATATATTCCTACCTACGCTGTATCGACATGCCCGGAGAGCACTATAGATTTGTTACACCTTGTAAGCCTTGCCCACAGACACGGTTGTAGTACTTTGGTGTCAACCGTGCGTTGACTTTGCGCAACTGTTGCGCTACCAGCACGCTGACTCACTCTATGCTGTGCTACTGGTGTGCTACACCGACTTGTTTACAGCTACGGCGACGCTACAGTATAACCCTCCTCGCTACAGAGGCTACATACAGGGGGGGCTGCCTACGAGGCAATGGGCGCTACATGGATTGAGTAGCGCCACATTGCCTGCCCATTTTTCCCTGATGTTGACCTTGTACCAAATACTGACAATTTGAGCCGCGCGCGATAACAGTGCAGCGGAGTTTTAGTTGCTTTCGCGACCCGTGGGAAAACTTAAGTTAACTTGCGGCATCTCGGCCCGGGCCCCGAAGGGGCAAGTAAAGGCCAAGTTACTCTACATAAGTTACTTTTTGCACACTCCACTTTTAATTATTTTGTCATTGAATTCAACCCCG